TTGTGGTGGGGGGGGACCCCCACCTCCTACCAGCAGAGGCTGCTGCACTGGGCCCTGCAGTCAGTGAGGTAACACAGAGCCCTGGGGTGAGCAGCACAGCCTGTTGCAAGTAACTGTGGTCCCCAGAACTGCAGCAGGGTTGGCTTGGCTCGGCTCCAGTACTGGCTGTGCCCAGTGGCCCCCACTCCACGCTGAGGCAAGCCTGAGCCGGGTCCCACTGCATACTGGAAGATCTGGTCCCAGCAGAGCCGTTAGCCATTAACTGAGTAGCGCAGGATGGGCCCTGGGCCTGCAGGATCATTCTCTTCCAGGCCAGGAGAAGGTGGCTGGGCTCACTCCTTGGGTGGGGAGAGCTCCTGGGAGAGGCAGTTGCGATGCCGCAGACTCTTCTCATCCTGGAGGGAGAAGATACCGTGTGAGGGCCCAGACCCAGCCTTGAGGAAGGCGGGGGGCCAGCCAAGGGGGCCCCTCACCCCTAGTCTAATGCCCTCAAGGCCAGGAAGGACCCGTAGGCTCCGGGGTGAGTGTGAGCTCAGGCTAGAGCGCACACAACCCCTCAGCCCCGGAGTGAGACCCCGCTGGGGTCCAGGAGCACGGCCCTGAGGGCAGCCGCCCTCTCCCTTGCGAACCATGGCAGGACGTCAGCTTGTGTAGAGAGAGCTGGGTAAAGGACAATGCACATGCCCAGGGGAACCCACCTGCTCTCAAGCAACATCTCCTAGGCCACATCTGGGTCCAGACAAGTGGTGAGTGGGGCTGATCCCCCTACTCAAGAGGAGAAGGTTCATTTCCCACTCCCTCCCCATGGATCTGAACAATGCCACTCTGAGTATGAGAAGCCCAGGAACTGGCATAGGGCGTGAGAGCTGAAACCCCTCCCCCAGTGTGGAGAGCAACCCTGGGAGGTCCCATGCCTGCGCAGAATAGGGGATCATGGTGCCAGCAGGGGCAGGGGAATCCTGATCCACCCTTACTCTCTGGGGCACCAGCCACAGCATGAGACGAGTGCCCCTCATAGCTGCTAGATCAGGGGCACAGATGGAGCTCCACCTGGGCCAGCCCCCCCAGCTGGAGAAGGCAAGGGGCAGTGAGAGCCTCAGGAGAGACAGCTGGACCCAGCACCCCCCAGGCTCAGGAGCCAGAGCTTAGTCTCAATACCTCAGTGTGGGTCCACTCAGCTGGCACTAGCAGCTCCTCTTCTCCCCGTGCGGGATCCAGCCCTTCCTCCTCATACTCCGTCAGGTAGTCAGACTCCTCACCTGGGACGGGAGCAAACACGGGGCTGGCAGCTGCTTCTGGCCTGGCCCCTCTCAAACCCAGCCCACAGCTCCCAAGCTATATCCAAGCCCTAGTCCTCCCACCCCCAGCCTCGCACACCTCTCCCCCTTGCTCCCACTCACCGTCAGCGTAGCCATCAGACAGGTAGTTCTTGGTTGGCTCGATGCGAGACACAATCTCAGCCAGATCAGTGAACCCCGCACTGGGGCAAGTCAGTACCTGGGGACAAGAACCAGGCTTGCGATTCCCTGGCCAGGCAGCCCTTGGCTCTGGGACACAAGGAGGAAGTGCTATGTGTGCTGAGCTGGAGAGTGGGTGGCTGGGATGCCTCTGGGAGGTGAGCACACGGAGTGGGGGGCAGAGGCAAGTCAATTCCTGGGTCAGGCTCCCACCCCATGGAGCAGAGCCCTGCTGGAACTGGGGTCTGCACTGACAAGGGAGGGCACTTCCCTGCCAAGCCCCCGGCGCCCCCTTGGAGTCCCCAGCCCTACCTCTTGGGGCACCAGGGCTGAGATGGCTGCTGTGCCAGGCACTGTAAAAACATCAGCCTGGCACAAAAGTGGCTGGAGCATGACAAAGCTACACACTGCAACTGCCCATCCCCCAGCCCGTGCCCGTAGCTCACATCCATGCGCTTGCTCTCGTAGAAGTCAGCTGAGCGCCGGTCCTTCACCATCTTCTCAATGATGTCGCCGCGGCTCCAGCCACTGAACACCACTTTGCCATGCTGGTAGCCCACATCCTGCAGGAGAGGATGGGCAGGGTGAAGGGCCACTCGGGGGACCCAGCCAGCTATGGAGAGGGCTGGCCAGGCCAGACTACGCCCGCTGCAGAGCAACGTGAGACAGTCATTTGTCCTGGACACTCCGATGCAGCAGGGGGTCTGCAGCCCCACAAGGGTGGCCATCAGATTTCCAATCCAACCCCCCCCAAGCACAGCGTCTCCCTCCCCCTCCCAGGCAGAGCCCTCAGCCCACATTAGAGCCTCGCATCCTCTCCACTCCGGCCTAGCACAGCCCCCAGCCCACACTGCAGCTTCCCATCCTCCGCATTGCCAGCTGAGCAGACACCCCCCCAGACTGGGGCCTCCCACCTTTCCTGCCCTCGGCTATGCACCAGCCCCACCCAGATGGGGTCCTGCACCCTTCCCCATCCTACCCCACAGCCCAGGCTGACTGGACTCACATAGATCTCATCGAACTTGCCGAAGTCCATGGTTTTGAAGCGGTCAATGGGCGGACGAATGTACTCACAGTAGGAGCTCGACTTTACCACCTCCAGCTGGCGCACACATGACACATAGGCCAAGCGTGACTGGATCTCTGCCATGTCAGGCACCTGTAGTTAAAGAATGGAAGGGGGGACATAGCAGCCTGGGCAGGTGGCTGCAGGAGTAAGTCCCTCCTGTTCCCTGCAGGTCTGAATTCACCTCATCCCCTCCACCCCCTTCCCACCAGCTGAGGCAAGCTGGAGTCCAGCAGCTGCTACTGGGGCATCAGAAGTGGCTGTGCTCAGCTGACAGCCTGAAGGAAGGCACCTGGCTGCCAAGGCAGGCCCACATGTTTACCTGGGGCTTGTGCTCCTGGCACAACAGGGTCTGTGACAGAAGGGATCCTGCCAGCACCTGCAGTTGTTGCTCCCCTCCTCCCCCCAAGCACAGCGTCTCCCTCCCCCACCCGGGCAGAGCCCTCAGCCCACATTAGAGCCTCGCATCCTCTCCACTCCGGCCTAGCACAGCCCCCAGCCCACACTGCAGCTTCCCATCCTCCGCATTGCCAGCTGAGCACAGACTCCCCCCTGCAGATTGGGGCCTCCCACCCTTCCTGCCCTTGGCCTCCCAGATGGGAAGGGTTTGTGCATGGGAGGGGGAAAGGAGGTGAACAGGCCCAGCCCTAGGGGGGAGGCAACTTGCTACCCTCCATGTGTCCCTCAGCCTATAACACAGGACGGGTGGCCCAGGTGCCCGGGATGGGGTGTCTGGAGGCATCAGGAAATGGGGCAGGTCCCCCCTTGGAGGGGGTTCTTGAGCAGGGAGGCCCCCAGGGTAGGGCTCACCTTGACCTTCTGGGCCCAGGGATTGAGGCGTTTCCAAAGTAGCCACCAGCCAGAAAGGCTGTCACCATAGTTGCAGAGGTCAGTCTCGTCTTGGCTGCCCACATCAATGGCGACCACCGTCTTGGCACCCATGTTCCGGGCAATATCCGCTGGTGTCAGAGAGCACGTGTCAGGGGTGGCAGCCTGGCAGCCCCATGCAGACAGTGGCATTGCCTGTTGCCATTAGGGCAGTCCCAAGGCTGAGGGCAGCAGGGAAGCAGGGCAAAACCTGTCACAAGCAGGAGGTGGGGAGCAAAGCTAGGTTTGCAGCAACAGTTTTTCTGCCCTCATTCCCAATTGCACACGAGGCGTGCACAGGACGAGTGGGCGGGACAAATGGGGGTGGCTCTGCAGCACCAGGGACACCTTCCCACTAATACTGCCCAGCTTGCCAGGTGGGTCGCTTCCCAGTGCACAGTCCATCATTTTCAAATCTTTCTCATCCCCCTTCTGACAGCGTGAAAGGCTGGTCCAGCTCATCCAGCCTCCCCTTGCTGGCTCGGCCTCACCTGGGAGCTCCCCACCATGGCACATTCAGAGGGTGCTAGGAATCAGCAACTCATCCCATGCAAGGATCCCTGGCCAGACAGGCTGTAGCAAGATTGCCCCCTGCTGAGCTCTGGCAGGGACGTCTCATGGCAGCGCTGGGGAGGGCTCCGTACAGCTCAAGAGACAGAGCACAGCTGCTGGAGCCGTGTTCACAGCCGTCTGTCAGAGAGAGGCCTTACCCAAAGCTGTGACTGCCAATGGTGTCCCAAGCACCGTGCAGTCAGGCTCCACGGAATTGGCAAGGTAACTGGAAACAGAAGCCTTCGCCCAAGGCTGGGAGGGTCACCTGGAAGGCTGACCAGTAGCTGCACTGCATGGGCTGAAGGCTTCCCTGGGAGTTTTTGTAATATTTTTGGAAAGTGTGTGAAGGGGCGAACAAGGAGCTGAGAGAGGAGGTGTGGGTGTTATGCAAGCCTGAGGTGGTTTGAATGAACCATCCCCTCTTGGATCAAGTTGCCTCAGAGACACAATGGCAGATCACGACTGTTATAGACTGGGAGCTGAGGGGCGCACAGCAGGACAGCAGGTGAGACCAAGGGAGAAGGTCTAGGTATGCGAATGGTGCTAAGAGAGCTGCTGCCCAGCCAGACGACTGGGAACAGAGGGGTGTGGAGTAGAAGCTGCTACTAACACAGGCTCTGAGCTCAGACCATCCTGACTCCCTCAGTCCGGGAGCTCAGGTGACTAATGGAGAGGGTGCACTCTGAACAGGCTGTGTTGTGTCATTGTCAATCTAAGGAGGTAAGGTCACTCACAGGGGTCTACTCTCCACCCTCTCTGGGGAGCTCTAGGGAGAAGCAAGGGCACTGAAGCCTGACGTCTTGGAGTTGTGGAGCTCACACTTGAAAAAAGAGGAGGCTTGGGGCCTGGTACAGCACTGGGGGTATCCCGGGATTCCCAGATAGCGGGGGCTGGTGGTGAGGACCTGAATGTGAGTGGCTGGCAGCAATAGTAGGGGTGGCCCTGAAGGGAGCAGACACAAAGCCCTGGGGGCACAGGACAGGCAGTTGGGAAATGAGGACAGGGGAATATGCCTGCTGCACCGAGGGGAAGAAGTCTGGGACCATTGCCTGGCCACAAACAGAACCTGGGAGCAACCATTTCCCTGTAGGAGATGGGAAAGACCCCTCCTTGCAGGGGCTGCAGGGAGACAGGGACATTCCAGGCCCTGACAGGGCCACACTCAGCCCAGCTACTGCTGTAGCAATGGGAACCACTCATGGAGCCTGCCTACTCACGAGTTCCCTGCTGCTGAGCATCAGCAACAAAAATGGACCTGCAGAACTACACCGGTGCCATGTGGCTACAAACAAGGATTGCAGGTGCTGATGCATGAAACTGAGCCCAGCACAGCTTCACACTGCTGCAAGGGGAGCCTGATCATAGAATCCTAGGGTTGGAAGAGACTTGGGGGTCATCAAGTCCAAACCCCTGTTCAGAGCAGGACCAACCCCAACTAAATCCTCTCAGCCCGGGCTTCCAGTGCTTCCCCACCCTCCTAGGGAAATAGTTTTTCTTAATATCCAACCTAGACCTCCCCCACTGTAACTTGAGACCATTGCTCCTCGTTCTGCCATCTGTCACCACTGAGACCAGCCTCTCGCCATCCTCTTTGGATCCTCCCTTCAGGTAGTTAAAGGCTGCTGTCAAATCCCCCCTCACTCTTCTGTAGATTAAACAAGCCCAAATCCTTCAGCCTCTTCCCATAAGTCACGTGCTCCAGCCCCCTAATCATTTTTGTTGCCCTCCGCTGGATTTTCTCCAATGCGTCCACATCCTTTCGAATATGGGGGACTCAGCTTTGGACACAATGCTCCAGATGTGGCCTCACCAGTGCTGAATAAAGGGGCATAATTACTTTGCTAGATCTGCTGGCAATGCTTCTACTAATGCACCCTAATATGCCATTATCCTTCTTGGCTACAAGAGCATGCTGATTCCATAGGACCGGAGGTCCCATCCTCCAGAGTCTCTGAAATGAGCCTCCCGCAGTTCCTGCTCAGGAAGTTGGGGGCCAGGGCTAAAGGCTTGGGCCCTGGAAAAGCTCAGTATCTCCACAGGCACAGACCTGACTGTGGTTCCAGGTAGGGGCTGCCTAGGATTCCCCCAGGGTCTCTGCTCCAGGTTAAGAAGTCCTCACCCAGGCTGGGCCCAGCTCTCAGGCTAGCTCCAAGGGAGAGACAAAGCAAGGTGACACCCCACCCCCAAGCCTATTCCCCAGTTGTGTTGCTACAGGGAGCAGGCAGCAAGAATGCAAAGCAGCCAGTGGAGAAGGAACATAACATGAACCTGCCCAGCTGGCCATGGACCAAGGTGATGCACCAGCCCTGCAGAGCATGGCTGTGTCTAGACTGGCAAGATTTCCGGAAAATCATCTGCTTTTCCAGAAAAGCTTGCCAGCTGTTTACACTGGCCGCTTGAATTTCCGGAAAAGCACTGACGATCTCATCTAAAATCACCAGTGCTTTTCCGGAAAAACTATGCTGCTCCCATTTGGGCAAAAGTCTTTTTCCGAAAGACTTTTGCACAAAAGGGCCAGTGTAGACAGCACAGTAGTGTTTTCCACAAAAAAGCCCCGATCACAAAAAAGGCGATCGGGGCTTTTTTGCGGAAAACCGCGTCTAGATTGGCCACGGACGCTTTTCCGCAAAAAGTGCTTTTGCGGAAAAGCATTCTGCCAATCTAGACGCACTTTTCCGAAAATGCTTAACGGAAAACTTTCCCGTTAAAAGCATTTTCGGAAATTCATGCCAGTGTAGACGTAGCCTATGGGTGGGAGGGAAGCTCCCTCCCTGAGCAGGATCCTCACTTTGGGTGAGTTGCTGGCTTTAGCAATAACATTCCTCCACCCCCACATGGGGCAGGAGGCCTGGGCCCTAGCTCAGTGATGGAGAGGACTCTAGTGCTGCAGAGAAACCAGCGGGGGCAGCAATGGAGATATGTGCCAGGGCAGAGCCAGGCAACAGGGAAAGGAAAGCAGAGGTGCCTCCCCCAGCGGCCTGCTTCGTGGTCTGTGAGCAGCGTCTCCATTGGCGGCAGGTACTTGCCTGGCAGGTTGTTGATGTAGCCACCGTCCATCAGTAAGTTGCCATCCTTGGGGTCGCAGAGTGGCGGCAGGTACCCGGAAAGGGTCATGCTCGCTCGCACATACCGCCACAGCGAGCCTAGCCGGCAGGAACAGACGCAGTCAGGAGACGGCCGCTTGCAGGCTCTGAGCCCCGGGGCAGGGAGGGCACCCCTGCCCAGACTGGGGAGTCTGCACAGCGTAGTGACAGGCATGGCTCTTGGAGCCCAGTGGGAGACTAGCCCAGCCAGCCCTACCCCGACTCTGTATCAGGTGATGCCTTGGATTGAATCCCAAAGGCCTCAGGAGAGACCGGGAACCTGGCCTGGTTGCACAGGCTCCCAATGCCTGCCCCTGCGCGGTGCAGATTTCCTAGCTTGAGCAGCACATATCTGGAAGGGGCACTGGGATCCAGCCTGTGCCCTCAGGCCTGTCAGAACCAGCCCTTGCCAGGGAGGGACAAGCTGTGGCATGGAAGGAGGCGGTCGCTGCAGCCCAACTTGGGGCAGTCAAGGCAATGAGTGGTAGGCAAGGGCTGTGGCCTGTTGCTACCCTGGCCCAGCCTTCCAAGCCACACAGGTCATCTCCGTGGCCCAGGGCCCGAGGAGCGCATGATGCTGACCTGGGACATTATTAACATAGCAGCCGTCCACAAGCAGGTGGCTGTCCTTGGGGTCGCAGAGAGGAGGCAGGTAGGGGGGGTAAGATGCACTGGCTCTGACGTAGCGCCACACAGTGCCTGCTGGAGGGAGAGGAGACAGTCACAGGGGACGGGGACAGCACAGATGGAGAGAAGACAGGAAACGACAATGACAGAAGCCTCAGCAATCCAGATGCCCGCTGGAGCAGGAGTGCTGGGAGCTCTCCCCAGGCTGGCAGGGAGAGGGCACTCCGGCTCAGACATGGGGAGTCAGGCTGGATGTAGGAATGTGGTAGAGCCTCAAACAGGTGTCCCCCACCGTAATACACGGATAGGCCATTGTGACATGCCTAGAAACCTATCCGCCTTAGTGGCTGCACTGACAACTAGGCTTGGCTATTCAAGCTACCCCAGTGCCCTGCTGGTTCTCTCTGGCAGGGGAAGGGCTGCCGCGTGCTTACTACTTGGTAACAGGCACATGGGCATGTTGGAACCAGTGCTCGAGGGGCTGCTGGACCCTGGAGTTAAGGCAGCTGGGGAGCGGGGCTGGGCAGGGTATGAATCCAGGTGGCTGTCAGGGGCTCTGTGGCTTTTCAATGCCTGTTGGGCTGACATGCCAGTAAGGCAGTGGTCAAGGGTGCCATTTTGGGAGGGCAGGAGAGGCACCAGCTCACCAGCCACGTGTAAGCCACAGATTGCAAGCACTTTCCCCTCACATCCCATATCCCAGAGCTCGTGGCTGCTGCCTCGCCCTACCCTCCCAAAATAGCACCCCTGGCAGTGGTGCAGGGCTGGGTGTGGGCCGTCACTGGGCTACAAACACCCAACCAAGACACTGGCTCACCCCCCCCCCCCCCCCCCCCCGCCCCCCCCCCCCCCCGCCCCCCACACACAACTGGTTTGCCAGGGGACTGGTTGCTTGGCAATCCCACCAGGGAGGATTCTGCTCACCTGTGAAGATGACCAGGGAGGTACATGGCAGGTGCAGGAAGCAGTGGGTGCGTAGGTGGGGGATTTTGCTGCTTTTCAACATCTCAAGAGAGGCTGCCAAGGGAACCAGGTTTGGAGAAGGGGATCCTGCCTCCCTGGTGCCCTGAAGGGCAGCCTGGAACAGGGGAGCAAGTAAGCGGCCCTGTGTTCAGGGAGCAATGTTTTCTATAGCCTCAGGCTTTATTTCTCATGCTTAAGCAAGGAGCCCTAATGTCAGACAGCTGGTAGAGGGCCAGTGCGCTATGTGCTACACCAGGGTTGGGCAAAAGGGCCTCTGTGGGCTGGATCCGGCCCTGCCAAGCGGGCTGATCTGGCCTGTGGCAGCCCTGCTGCTGCTCCTGCCTCCAGGCCAATCAAGACCTGGAAGCGAGGGGGGAAGCACGCAAAGTATCCTCCTGCCCTGCAAGAGGCTCAGCACTTTGAGTCAAATGCCAGCTACTGCTCAGCCGGCAGGTGACTAAGTGAGGTGCCTCCTTGCAGGGCAGGGACAGACTTTGCACACTCTCCCCGCCCCCAGGCTCTGATTGACCTGGGGGCAGGAGAGGGAGCGTGTGAAGTCCTCGCACACCGCCAGGGGCATGGGCACCTAGAGGGAACCACCAGCTGTTCAGAACAAAGGGGGCAAAAACTTTGCACACTCCCCCACCCACAGACCAATCAGGGCCTGCGGGCGGGGAAGCACAGAAGTGTCCTGGCCCCGGCCAGGGGCCACTTCAAAAATGTCTGAAGTAAACCCCCAATCAAAAATTATTGCCCACCCCTATGCTACACCTTGTCTGGAGCCTTCGAAGAGGGGACCCAGCAGCTCACCATTTTGGAGGGGTTTGGGAGAAGGCATTCAGGTTATTCAGGGTATGTCTACACTGCAGAGTTTTTTCAGAAAAATGGCCATTTTTCTGAAGTTACGTCTACACTACAATTGCATTCTTTCAAAAAAAAACCCTGAAAGAACAGAGGGGTTTTTCCGACATTGGTAGGCCTTATACAAGGAAGAAGCCTTTTTTCAAAAGAGTTCTTTCGGAAAAAAGGCGTGTGTGGATGGGGAAGAGGGAGTTCTTTCAGAAGAGGAAAAAGCACAGGTGCCCTGGCGGCCACTCCCTCCATAGTAATCACAGCTGAAATGCAAGATAGCGTCCAACCAATGTGGACACTATCTTTCAAAAAAGCAGATCGCTTTTTCGATGCGCTTTTGCTGTGTGGACGCTCTCTTTCGAAAGAGATCTTCGGGAAAAGCTTCTTCCAAAAGAAGCCTGCAGTCTAGACATAGTCTGAGGGAATCTGAGGGATAGGCAGTGAGCTCAGGAGCTGACGAGGGGCTATGAAGTCACAGGGCCCAGGAAGAGAAGCTAGATAGCGGGGTGCACCCCCAGAATATACCTAAATGACCCCAAGTTGGGGACTAGGACTGGAATCAGCTAAGACCCTGGGAATCCAGCAGCTAAGCTGCCTTCGCAGCAGCCTGGTGGGGTCCTGGCAAGGTGCACCAGACTGGATTGGAAACAGGGTGCAGTGTGATTGAGCTGAGCTCCCCCGGAAATAGGCTGCCAGGGCTCAGAGCTGGAAGCCCAAGTGAGTGCTCTCCTGTAACCCTGAAGAACCCCAGCCAGTGTGACCAGAACATTGAGCAGATGGTGACTGGAGCAAGCCCAGGGCACACACTGGGAGCTGCTGGTCCAGGAGACTGAGATACATACTGAGATGGTGCAGCAGGGAGGTAGAGCCTCCCCTCCATGGGCTTCGGGGGAAGGGTTTTCATTATTGCCTCTGGATGCCAGCTGGGTAGGACAGCAGGGTCCTGGCAGGGAGGAGGCCTCCTCCTGGCATCTCCCCAGAGAGAGCATTCACTCACACACACAAACGCACAGCGGAGTCAGCCCTTCCCCTTCCTGCCTGTGCTCAGCGAGTTAGGGATGAGTGGGGGTTAGTTGGCATTAGGACAGACAAGCAGGCAGAGCGAGAGCCAGGCAGGTACAGCTGCCAGGGTGTCTCATGGATGGATCAATGTCCCAGGTGAGATCAGGCACCCGTAACTGACAAGGCACAAGATGAGGACGAAGGGCAGAGACCTACTTCCCCGGAGAGCCCCCCACCTGCATGCAAGGACAGAGTGTTGTCTCTTGTCTGCCCAGCCTTGCCACACAAATTCCCCCACCTTCCCCTGAAAGCCCCCAACCACCACCTGAGTGCAGGGACAAAACACTGCCCCTTGTCTGCCCAGCTTTCCCTTGCCACACACCTCCCACCTACCTCCCCTGGAAGCTCCCAGCCACCCCCACCTGAGGGCAAAGATAGAATGCTGCCCCAGCTCCTCGAACTGACCCAAAGCAGCCCTGCTACTGCTAATAGGTCATCCAGCTGGCCCCATGGTCAGCCGTGGCAGGCAGGATGCAGAGGGATTAGTGAGATCCAAAGCCCCATCGTGTGTTCTCCCCACACAATCAAGAGTGGTGGGATTATCAGGATTAGTGAGTAGCAGAAGTGTTACAAGCAGGGAAGTGGGGAGGAGCCGCTCAGTGACCAAGGGGCTGAGTGTGGGGATGGGCAGGGGGGGCCCCATGTGCACATTGCTGTGCTGGGGATCCCTGCCTGCAGACTTGCTGTGGCCCCCAGCTCTGACCTGGAGCAGCATCAGCATTTCTTGGGCTTGGGTTCCGCAGGCCCAGGCCAGCCCTTGCTGCTCCGAGGTCCTGCCTCACCCAGAAGGGCAGGAATGGTGTCTGGCTGCTTGCAGATCCTAGGTCCTGATGCCAGGCATTAGGGAAGCCAGCAGCTCCTGCTGCCTGGGGCACGGGCATGGGTGAAGGAAGCCCCCCCGGCCTGGTGTTCAGCCCAGTCAGCTCAGGCTGAGTGCTCCCTGCAGTGGTGCCTCCGCCCCTTGCTGCCCCAAGAAAGCACTGCTGTGGAAGGAGACTGTCTCACAGAGCCTGGTTCTGCCTCTAGCATAGCCCTGGTAGCAGGGCCCTCATGCTCCCCATGCTACCAACAGCATCTTCTACCATGGCCGGGGGGGGGGGGGCACAAAAGGCGG